CTTTTTGAGGAATCTCCATACTGTTTTCCAGAGTGGCTGCACCAGCTTGCATTCCCACCAACAGTGTAGGAGGGTTCCCCTTTCTCCGCATCCCTGCCAACATCTGTCCTTTCCTGACTTGTTAATTTTAGCTGTTCTGACTGGTGTGAGGTGGTATCTCATTGCAGTTTTGATTTGTATTGCCCTGATGCCGAGTGATGTTGAGCATTTTTTCACGTGTCTGTGGGCCATTTGTACATCTCTGTAAATGTCTTTTCATGTGTTCTGCCCATTTCTTGATTGGATTATTTGTTCTTTGGGTGTTGCATTTGGTAAGTTCTTTATAGATCTTGGATACTAGCCCTTTATCTGGTATGTCATTTGCAAATATCTTCTCCCATTCTGTAGGTTATCTTTTTCTTTTAAGATTTTATTTATATGTCAGAGAGACAGAGAGAGAGCACAAGAAGGGGAAGCGGCAGGCAGAGGGAGAAGAAGGCTCCCCACTGAGCAAGAAGCCCAATGTGGACTTGATCCCAGAACCCCAGGATCATGACCTGAGCCGAAGGCAGATGCATAACCGACTAAGCCACCCAAGCATCCCAGTTGTTTTTTAGTTTTGTTGACTGTTTCCTTTGCTGTGCAGAAGCTTTTTATCTTGATGAAGTCCCAATAGTTCATTTTTGCCCTTGCTTCCCTTGCCTTTGGAGACATATCTAGCAAGAAGTTGCTGCAGCCGAGGCCACAGAGGTTGCTGCCTGTGTTCTCCTTTAGGATTTTTTGAGGGATTCCTGTCTCACATTTAGGTCCTCCAACCATTTTGAATCTATTTTTGTGTGTGGTGTAAGGAAATGGTCCAGTTTCATTCTTCTGCATGTGGCTGTCCAGTTTTCCCAACACCATTTGTTGAAGAGACTTTCTTTTTTCCACTGGATCTTCTTTCCTGCTTTGTCGAAGATTACTTGACCATAGAGTTGAGGGTCCATTTCTGGGCTCTCTATTCTGTTCCATTAATCTATGTGTCGTTTTTGTGCCAGTACCATACTGTCTTGATGATTACAGCTTTGTAATAGAGCTGGAAGTCTGGAATTGTGATGCCACCAGCTTTGGTTTTCTTTTTCAACATTCCTCTGGCTATTCGGGGTCTTTTCTGGTTCCATACAAATTTTAGGATTATTTGTTCCAGCTCTGTGAAAAAAGTTGATGGTATTTTGATAGGGATTACATTGAATGTGTAGATTGTTCTAGGTAGCATAGAAATTTTAACAATATTTGTTCTTCCCATCCATGAGCTTGGAACATTTTTCCATTTCTTTGTGTCTTCCTCAATTTCTTTTATGAGTGTTCTATAGTTTTCTGAGTACAGAACCTTTGCCTCTTTGGTTAGGTTTATTCCTAGGTATCTTATGGTTTTTGGTGCAGTTGTAAATGGGATCAACTCCTTAGTTTCTCTTTCTTCCATTTCATTGTTAGCATATAGACCCAGCAATTGCACTACTAGGTATTTACCCCGAAGTACAAATGTAGGGATCCGAAGGGGCACCTGCACCCCAATGTTCATAGCAGCAATGTCCACAATAGCCAAACTATGGAAAGAGCCCAGCTGTCCATCGACAGATGAATGGATAAAGAAGATGTGGTATAATATGACCCAGCAATTGTACCACTGGGTATTTACCCCAAAGATACAAATGTAGGGATCCGAAGGGGTACATACACCCTGATGTTTATAGCAGCAATGTCCACAATAACCAAACTATGGAAAGAGCCAAGATGTCCATCAACAGATGAATGGATAAAGAAGATGTGGTATATATATACAATAGAATATTATGCAGCCATCAAAAGGAATGAAATCTTGCCATTTGCAACGACGTGGTTGGAATTGGAGAGTGTTATCTGAGCAAAATAAGTCAATCAGAGAAAGACATGTATCATATGACCTCACTGATATGAGGAATTCTTAATCTCAGGAAACAAACTGAGGGTTGCTGGAGTGGTGGGGGGTGGGAGGGAGGGGGTGGCTGGGTGACAGACATTGGGGAGGGTATGTGCTATGGTGAGCGCTGTGAATTGTGTAAGACTGTTGAATCACAGACCTGTACCTCTGAAACAAATAATATATGTTAAAAAAAAGAAGAAGAAGAAGATAGCTGGAAGGGAAAAATGAAGGGGGGGGAATTGGAGGGGGAGACGAACCATGAGAGACTATGGACTCCGGGAACAAAACTGAGGGTTCTAGAGGGGAGGGGGGTGGGGAGATGGGTTAGCCTGGTGATGGGCACGTTCTGCGTGGAGCACTGGGTGTTATACACAAACAATGAATCATGGAACACTATATCAAAAACTAATGATGTAATGTATGGTGATTAACATAAAAAAATGCAAGCCCCGCCCCAAAAAGAAGATGTGGTATATATATATATACAATGGATATTACTCAGCCATCAGAAACAATGAATACTTACCATTTACATCAACGTGGATGGAACTAGAGGGTATTACGCTAAGTGAAATAAGTCAATCAGAGAAAGACAATTATCATATGATCTCACTTATCTGTGGAATTTAAGAAACAAATAGAGGATCATTGGGGAAGGGAGGAAAAATGAAACAAGAGGAAATCATAGAGGGAGACAACCATAAGAGACTCTTAACCAAAGGAAACAAACTGAGGGTTGCTGGAGGGGACGGAGGTGGGGGGATGGAGTAACTGGGTGATGGACACGAGAGGGGCGCGTGGGTGGCTCAGTCGGTTAAGCATCTGCCTTTGGCTCAGGTCATGATCCTGGGACTCTGGGATTGAGCCTGGAGTTAGGCTCCCTGCTCGGTGGGGGGTCTGCTTCTCCCTCTCCCTCTGCACCTCCCCAACGCTCATGCTGTCTCTCCGTCACTTGCTCTCTCTCTCTCAGATAAAATCTTTTTTAAAAGAGGAGGGCACGTGATATAATGAGCACTGGGTATTATATAAAACTAATGAATCACTGAATTTAACCTCTGAAACTAATAATACACTATATGTTAATTAATTGAATTTAAATTAAAAAAAGGAAATCTTTCTAAAAGCTTTGTTTTAGCATTTAAAAGCATTGTTTGAGGGGGCACCTGGGTGGCTCAGTTGTAATAAGCGTCTGCCTTCAGCTCAGGTCATGATCCCATGGTCCTGGGATCGAGCCCCACATCGGGCTCCCTGCTCTGCAGGAAGCCTGCTTCTCCCTCTCCCACTCCCCCTGCTTGTGTTCCCTCTCTCACTGTGTCTCTCTCTGTCAAGTAAATAAATAAAATCTTAAAAACAAAAAAATCATTGTTTTGTATCAAAAGGATTTGCAGGCTTTCTAATCTTATCATTTTTCCAGAAATTGAAGCCAAGATGGGTTTATTGATCTTTTCTAGGAATCCTTTAAAAGGAATCTAGTTTAGTTCAGCAAGCAATCATTGAATGCCTTCTCTGTAGCAGCTACTATTTAGGGAAACCACTCATTTGCTAACAGAAAGCCACTTTCGGTCAGAAAATAAATCTGTCTATCTTCTTCCCCATCCTTTTGTGACTATCAATTGCAAGGATCACATTATAACAAAGGCATCATCAGATAAGTTCTAGTATTTCAGATAAAATTCCCATGTTCAGCACTTAAACCCCAACTACAACAATATGGATTACATTATCATCATTAACAACAACAAACAAAGGTAAGTGGCAGAGTTGCACCCAAATTCACATAATTTTCAAAATTGTGCATTTCTCCTCTTTGTGTTTAGATTTTCGCCTACCTCACTTTAAGAGATATAGTAATATGTGGTCAAGTCTGTCACTCCTGGGTGTTGATGACACAAGGAAGCTCATTGTGGAATAGTGTAAGTAGACAATACTGGAAGCTATGTCTTTATTCTAGCTTTTAAAGGAGAACAGCCTGCTATAAAACCAGCTATACTAGGGACTACTTTTCCCTGCTCTCCCAAAGGGGCCACAGAAAGTAGGTGCGTTTGTTTTTCTTTTGTCCAGGCACAAGCCCAAAGGACAAGAGAGAAAGATAATAATGTTGTTTTAAGAGACATATTATCAGTATTTTCTAATTTACACGGTAGAAATAAATCGAATATTCTTTTTGGATGGAAACAGATCTCTGTTATATCTGAGTTAGACTTAACATTGCCTAACTCAGGATGCTGCTGAGAGAAATTGAGGAAATGTAAATAAAGTGCTTACTATGGAGCCTGGCATGTAGGCAACACTCAGTGAATATTAGCTCCTATTATTGGTTCGTAAAACATAACAAAGTAGCACAAAATATGGATTAAAGGGAAAAAAAAACTGAGCATGAAATGGGGCTAAAATATACAACATGTAAACACAGCTTGTTTGATATTCTTAGGGTATCTGCATGTACAAACACACACACACACTCTGGCATTTTTCTACTCTTCTTGTAACCTAGAATTTCTCAGTCCAATAAGACACTGGGGAGAGGTCTCAGCCAACCACAAAAAAATAAGCATAAATTGTCCTTGATGACTTCTCTTTTCTGTTCCTTGGATGATAGTTTAATCTCTATATAATCATTTATGCCATCAACCAATGTTGCAGTGGCAACATTTTCCCTGTTTCCTGATGTTCAGTCTGTAGCTGACTTTACCACCCCTCCTTGATAGCCAATGATCAGAGGAGTAATGACATCACAGGCTCAGACTGACCTATGAGTAGATGGTTGGAACCATTCAGCATAAACTCTAACATTTAGACAAAGAAACTAAGGTACCATTCATAAATCAAGTCGCCATCTTGACATCCCATTCTTGGCTTTACTATTCCTTGTGCAACAATGGCAAGAAGAAAATGTGCTTCTGTCTCCACTAACCCATCTTGGCTACCAAATGTAATATGCCTGTCTTAAGTTTATTTTTAGTTTAAGACAGTGATACTCAAACTTCAGAATGCATCAGAAATAGGGGCACCTGGGTGGCTCAGTCATTAAGCGTCGGCCTTCAGCTCAGGTCATGATCCTGGGGTCCTGGGATCAAGCCCCACATCGGGCTCCCTGCTCAGTGGGAAGCCTGCTTCTCCCTCTCCCACTCCCCCTGCTTATGTTCCCTCTCTCGCTGTGTCGCTCTCTGTCAAATAAATAAATAAATCTTTAAAAACAAATTATCTAAAGGGGTTGTTAAAACAGATTGCTGATTGCCAAACCTAGAATTTCTGACTCAGTAGGTCTGGGGTGGGGCTTGAGAATTTGTATTTCCCACAAGTTCCTGGTGATGCTGATGCTGCTGGTCCCAGGACCATACTTTGAGAATCACTGGTTTAAAGTAATAAATCTCTTTCTTATGTGACAGATTGGGGATGTTACTTTTTGCTTTGGAAAGCCTCTAAAGAATAAAAAAATGATTCCAAGCAATCAGAAAGAGAAAGATTATGTGTAATAATAAGATCAGAACAAATCCTGCAGAAGCCTGGCAGGAAAAGCTAGCACTTTTGCCCAGAGACCTCACTAAGTAAAGTTGGAGAAAATATGAGTACATGTCAGTGAAGAAAAAAGCCTGGGTAGGAAGTTAAGTTTCTTTACGCTCAGCAAATTTCTTTCTCCACAATTCTTCATTGTCCTTCATCTTCTATTAGTTTTACCTTCATTTGTGAGTGCTCAAGTGTGGCACAACTGTAACAAACATTTTAGCACAAAGAATAGCTTTGTTCAGATGGCAATGAGAGATTGGAAGCTCATAAACTTAATCTTTTAGCTGAAAGACATGATTAATACTATGATATCAATGCTATTGTTTATCAGCTGGCCCCAGCCACTTGGAGCTCCCAGAAATCTCTGTGCTCTTCAATATTACATGCAATCAGCCAGCATCACTCAGGTCATCTTTCCTTTCCCCCAGACCTCCCTCCTCCAAATTATGAGTTAGGAGAAGGCCACTCTAAACCCCACACTCTAAATTGTCTTCCCCAGAGTCAAGAACTTAACACATCATCTATGGCTCATGAATAGAGAAGGAGGCACCCATTAATAACGAACCTGGATGGGCTCATTGACACTGAAGTGGGGGGCAGCCTTGGGGCTCACCTGGGATGATGGGGGGTGAGGTATCCAGGCCACTCCAAAACAATCAACTCTGTTATGGGGTAGATGTGAGACTCTTGCCCTCCCAGCTGTTGACCTAGATTGGACATTGGGAATCTGTTTGTAACTAAACCTGGGAATGACCATGAAAAAAAAAAATCTGCTTGTAATTAAACTCCAGAATGACCATGAAAATAAAGAAATGAAAAAGTGAGAGATGTGATGAAGACATTTGTTTCTTGATGCTTTTAAAATATTAAAAATTTTTGCATGCAAAAGATCTTTCTCATTTCTTAATGTCTTTTGCTTATCCTTTTTAGATTGATTTTTCCGCAGTAAAAAATATAATCACAGATAAATGTATAGTGTCTACTTTGCAAAGGTGGCGTCTAAATGTGCTGCGTTTGAATTTTCGTGGTTGTGTTCTCCGATTGAAAACCTTGAGATCTGTCAGTGAGTATGTTCATTACAACTCTTTGTCTTGCTTTCCTGTTTTTAACTAAACAAATATAAAGAAAAATATAAAGAAAATAGAAACTTCAGTTACGGTCATAGGCCATAAGAATGCCAATTAAAAACATTTTAAATGCTTATAATATAGTCAGCTCTTACTGGATTGCATGCTCTGGGAGTTGGTCCTTTGTCCCTTCTTCTAGACTTCTTTTTTTGTTTAGCATTTGTCTATGTATCCTCAATTCATCTACTAAAAAAAATACAAAATAAGAATATATTCTCAATTTAAAAATTCTAACAATAGACTGTAAAAGCAAAAACTTGCCTTTATCTCCCTCAAACCCATTCACTTACTCAAAGGTACTCAATGTTACCAGTTTTCTGTTTTTCTAAAATACATTTGCATATATGTGATTAAAAATACACAATTAAAAATTTTAACATGAAAATGATCATATTGTTTTATATTTTCTTTTATATCCTGGAAATCTTTCCATGTCAGTCCATATAGAATTACAAAATTATTTTTAAATACTTAAAATCATTTTCCATACTATGGACGTAGCATAATTTATTTAACTTTCTTCCTCTCGAAGGACATCGAGGTTATTTCCATTTTTTTCCAAACTGCTTTGTACTTTCATTGTGACATTTATCTTTAACAGTCTAAAGTCAGTCTGAGCTGCTATAATAAAGCTTCATAGACTGGGTGGCTTATAAAGAACAGAAACTTGATTCTCACAGTTCTGGAAGCTAGGTGTCCAAGACCAGGGTGCCAACATGGTTCTAGAGAGGGCCTTCTTCTAGGTCATAGACCGTTGTTGTCTTGTATCCTCACATGACAGAGAGAGGGAGACAGAGATTACTGGGGTCCCTTGCATAAAGGTTCTAATCCTATTCATGAGAGCTCCACCCTAATTATGTCCTGAAGGCCCTCTACCTCCTAATATCATGACATTGGGGGCTAGGATTTCAACCTATGAGTTTGGTGGTGGGGGCACATCCAGTCCATTGCATTAATCCATATGTTGTTTAAGGTGCATTTTTTAGTTTCCATATATATTTCTGGAAATGAAAGGAAAAAATATATTTTAAAAAGTGTACATCCATACTGATTTCAGATAATAAGAATGCCGTAAACATATGTAGATATCAACATGGATGAGTCTAGAGATATGTGAGTGAAAGTAAGTTGCAGAATGACATATATAATCTAATACCCTTTGCATACAATTTTTCAATGTGCAAAATAATAATATACTTAATATTTGGAAAGATTTTCAATAATATATTTTTAAGGGGACACACACATATATAGCAAAAGAAAAAGCTTGCATGGGAATGAAAACTCTAAATGCAAGGTAATGGTTACCCTTGAGGTGGATAGAGTTGAATGAAGTGGGGAAAAGGTTCACAAATTTTTTCTTTCTTTCTTTTTCTTTTTCTTCCTTCCTTCCTTTCTTTCTCTCTCTTTCTTTCTTTCTTTCTTTCTTTCTTTCTTTCTTTCTTTCTTTCTTTGTTTCTTTCTTTCTTCCTTCCTTCCTTCCTTCCTTTCTTTTTCTTTCTTTCTTTCTTTCCTCTCTTTCTTTCTTCTTTCTTTCTTTCTTTCTTTCTTTCTTTCTTTCTTTCTTTCCTTCTTTCTTTCTTTCCTTCTCTCTCTCTCTTTCTTTCTGGGAGAGAGAAGGTGGGGGAGGGGCAGAAGGAGAGGGAGAGAGAGAATCTTAAGCAGGCTCCACACCCAGCACAGAGCCCGAAGTGGGGCTTGATCTCACGACCCTGAGATCATGACTTGAGCAGAAATCAAGAGTCAGATGCTTAACCGACTGAGCCACCCAGGCGCCCCAAGGAGTTTCAACTGTACCTGTAATTTTTTTAATTGAAAAAGTAAAGAAAATATACCAAATGGGATAATTCTGACTGGTTGCTGATGCTGAAAAGAGCTATAGTTTTTATATGATGTTATTGTATTTGATTATATATTAAATTGTTTTCTTGGTTTTAATAGTTTGCCAGTTGATTCTTTGGGGTTTTCTAGGCAGATCATTTATTTCCATTCATTCCTATCCTTATATCTTTTCTTTTTTTTTTTTTTTTCAGTAGCAGGGATATGCAGCCATCTTGTCTCATTCTTTACTCCTTTTTCATATTTTTAATGAGAATAGTGTTAATATTATTACATCTTTTATTCCTGGCATACACCCTATATAGGCATATAGCACTGTTCCTTTTTTTACAGCAGCCATGTTTTGCTTGTTCCTCATTCAATCTCGTCATGTCTGCCTTTGGAGTTTTAGGAACTATTAATGTCTGATCCACCAATACCATTCCTGCTTTGTTTTCCAGGGATATCACAGATTTTTGAAAAAAAAATCATTTCTTGGAATTTGGGTAGGAAAGTAAAGCTGAAATATGTGCTTAGTCTGCCATCTTGAATGAACTTATCACTTTATTAGTAATAAAGATTTAACAAAATAATTGTAAACTTTAATGTGTTAGCCACCTAGTTTATAGCAGCATTATCTACAATAACCAAATTATGGAAACAGCCCAAGTGTCCATTGATTGATGAATGGATAAAGATGGGGTATATATATATACACATACACACACACACACACACACACACACACACACACTGGAATATTACTTAGCCATAAAAAAGAACAAAATCTTTCCATTTGCAACCACACGGATGGAACTACAGAGTATTATGCTAAGCAAAATAAGCCAATCAGAGAAAGACAAATACCATATGATTTCACTTATGTGGAATTTAAGAAACAAAACAAACGAGCAAAGGGGAAAAAAGAGAAAGAGAGAGGCAAGCTAAGAACAGACTCTTAACTATAGAGAACAAACAGATGGTTACCAGAAGGGAGTTAGGTGGGGAGAGGGGTTAAATAGGTGTTGGGGATCAAGGAATGCACTTGTGATGAGCACTGGGTATTGTATGGAAGCGTTGAATCACTGTATTGTATACCTGAAACTAATTATACTGTGTGTTAACTAACTGGAATTTAAATAAAAACTTTAAAGAAAATGTGCTAGTCACCCAAACTCACTGCCTCTAGAAAAATGGACTATTAAAAAAATCTGTTTTTTGAAGAAAGAAAATGGACTCAAGATGCAACATTCAAAGTTTTGGTTTGGCCTAATATTTTCATGCTAGCAATGGTGGCTGAACACTGGGGTGAGTTTCTGAGAAATGGCAGGGCATGTATCTCTGGAAACTTTCATTCCTAGTTTGTTGAATTTTTTTTTCATCATACAAGGGTGTTGAATTTTGTCAAATGCCTTTTCCACATCAACTTAAATTTTTTTCTTCATTCTCTTAATATATTGTTATTACATTGATTTTTGTATGTTGAACCATCTTTGCATTCCTGGGAATAATCTCACTTGTTCATGGAGTATAATCCTTAAAATATGCTGCTGTATTTTCTTTGCTGATATTTTGTTGAGGATTTTTGCATCTATATTTAAAAGGAATATTGTTCTGTAGTTTTCCTTTCTTATGAGGTCTTTGGCTTCTTTGTTGGCTAATACTGGCTTCACAGAATGAATTAGGAGCTATTTTCTCCTTTTCTATAGTTTGAAAGAGTTTGAAGATTGATGTTATTCTTTAAATGTTTGGTAGAATTTGCCACCGAAGCCATCTGGTCCTAGACTTTTCTTTGTTGAAAGTGTTTTGATTGCTGATTTAATATCCTTATTTGTTACAGATCTATTCAGATTTTATGTTTCTTCTTGAGTCAAGTTTGATAGCTTGTGTGTTCCTAGGAATTTGTCAGTTCCAATGTATGTAGGTAACCTAATTTGTTGAAGTGCAATTGTTCATAGTATTCTCTTATAATCCTTTTCATTCCTGTGAAGCAAGTAGTAATGCATGCACTTTCATTTCTAATTTTAGAAATTTTAGTCTTCCCTCGTTTTTCTTGATCAGTCTAGCTACAGGTTTGTTACTTTTTGTTGATCATTTCAAACAAACCTACTTTTTAGTTTTTTATTATGGTAAAATATACGTAACACAAAAATGACCATTTTAACCATTTTAAGTGTACAGTTCTATAGCATTAAATGCATCACCATCCACCTTCTTTAAAAAAAGAAAAAGAATTTTTCTTTTTTAAAGATTTTATTTATTTACTTGAGAGAGAAAGAGCATGAGCGGGTGGAAGGGCAGAGGGAGAGGGACAAGCAGACTCCCCACTGAGTGAGGACCACCCCCCACCCATGTGGGGCTCAATCCCAGTAAACTGAGATCATGACCTGAGCTGAAGTCAGATGCTTAACTGAATGAGCCACCCAGGCGCCCCCAAAACCTTTTCAAAAAGTCTTTTTTTTCACTTGCAAAACTGAAACCCTGAGCCATTATATACTAACTCCCCATTTCCCCCTACTCCGAACCTGTGGCAACTACCATTCTACTTTCTCCCTCTATGGATTTGACTACCTTATATAAGTGGAATCACACAATATTTGCCCTTTTGAGCCTGATTTCTTTCATTTAGCATCATGTCTTTAAGTTTCACTCATGTGGCAGCTCATATCTGAATCTCCCTCCTTTTTAAGAGTGAAAAATACTCTATTAGCTGTATATACCACATTTTGTTTATCTGTTCACCCATCAGTGGACTTTTGGCTGTTGTGAAATAATGCTGCTATGAACATGAGTGTTCAAACATCAACTCTGATTTTTATTGATTCTATTGTTTTTCTATTTTCTATTTTATCCCCACTCCAATCTTTATTAACCTGCTTGCATTGGATTTTCTTGCTCATCTTTAGTTTCTTAAGGTGGAAATTTAGGTTACTGATTTGAGTCTATATTCTTTTAAAATGTTGACATTTACAGCTCTAACTTTCCCTAGATTTCTTTTTTTTTATCTGTTTCCACATAAATACCTTTCCTGATGCTTAGACACAAAGTCCACTGGGAAGTTTGGGATGGAGAGGAAATGAGCAACATGAAGTTGCAACTTGTGTAGAGAATACAGAGAGGGCCAAACAATAAACAATTCTGTACTATGCAATGGCATATGTTCTTTACATCAGAAAATGATATATATGTATCTTATATACGTAATATATATCTCATACATTGTATCACAGATAGATAGATAGATAGATAGATAGATAGATAGATAGATTGATTGATTGATCTTAGGTAGTTATTAGTCCAAGATAGCCAAAAATACTGCCTGAACTTTTTTGATATTTTGTGGTCTACTTAAAAATATTTGATATTTATCTGGGCCACCTGGGTAGCTCAGTCAGTTAAGTGACTGACTCTTGATTTCGGCTCACGTCATGATCTCAGGGTTGTGAGATCAAGCCCCGTGTTGCGCTCCATGCTGGGTGTGGAGCCTGCTTAAGATTCTCTCTCTCCTTCTCCCTCTGTCCTCCCACCTCCTCTCGCTCTAAAAAAATAAAAAAATAAAAAAAAATAAATTCACATTTATCTAGAAGTGTAATTCTGTATTTCTTAGTACAAAAGTCTTTATCACAGAAAAAATTAAACATGCAAGCCTGAGTAGACCTTGGCTTTCTAAGGAAGTAAATGTACTACCTATCTCATCTTAATGATATTTTAATTTGCTAAAGATTATTTAATGAAATCAGTTTTAATTCCAGCTACCCTGAGTATATCAAAGATAAAAACCCAATCTCAGCAATGTTTCAGCTTTTCAATTTTTTCTCCCAGCTAAGGTCAGTCAATCTATTGGTGTGTCTAGAATTACACACTTTTTTGGCAAGAAGTTTGACTTTCTGATTGTTACACTGAAGGTAAATATTGGCTAATCATTTGAGCTGTTTGGCTGAATGACCACAAGAGTTATACAAAATCCTTGTCTGCAAAAACCTTAGAATAAAATTAACTTTAACCTGTTATCTTAAAATGTTTAAAAGGTAGCTGAGGGCAGGGGAGAAAAATGCTTGCTATAATATTGTGACAAGTGTGCAGAGTATATGCTAAAACACTTCAGCAAACATTTGTCACGGGGACACAAGTGATTTCTAAGTTCAGGAGTTGTGTTGTGCTTTAGTAAAATAGATATATTGGGGATGAGAAGCTCCACTTGGCTGAAATTCTTCTCCACTCACTGACTGGTAAGATGAGCAGTTTAGAAGAAGCTTTGACGTGCGACTACCCCTGTAGCATGTTTATGTTTCTAGAATTTATAAGATATAATATTGAAATGTTTTGAACAGAATTATGAAGTAATTTGCCAGTCTCCCTGCCCCATTCCTGTTGTTCTTATTCACTCTAGTATTTACACTGATTTGTTAGTCACAGATTACATTTTCCCCTCCACTCACCAACACCGCCCTCCCCCGCCCACCTCTTGAAGAGAGGAGCCTCCATGTCTCATCGAATTTAGGCAGGTAGATTTTTAGTACTGATTTGCTTCTGTTTGCCAGAGTAGGAGAAACGGATTCCTCAGAAATAGACATTAATTGATCTTGGGTGTAAGCCCCAGAGGTTGAATGGTTAGTAAATGAAAAATCTGTACTGCTTAATGTTAACTATCTTTCCTAAATAACCAGGCATTAGGTCAGAGCTGACTCAGACTTAGGACTCAAGAGATCTCAGCTTGCAGTGAATCTTATTTACTTCAGAAAAATCAGGGAATTTGAGGACTAGTAAGAAAGTTAAAACAAACAGAAGAGAACTTGAGTATTTATCCAAATATTACTCAAGTATTTGGATAAATACTTGTTACATTTAAACATGTATGTTCAAATATGAAGATTTCAGGATTATCATATTTTTGACTGCCACAAAATACACATATTTTTTAAATCTCCTGACCTTCATCATCTATTGAACAGAAGAAATGTCCAAAGACAAGTTATTCAACTCTCAAGAAATCGGCAGGAGATGAGGTACCTAAATGTTCATTCCATCATTGATCAACTCTGTTTTCCTGAAAAGTATAAACTCTGATAGAAAGAAGGGGCAAATCCTAAGCTTTAAAGAATGTACTTCAATTTTGGTCCTGGGAGATATTAGCAACTCTAACTTACTTTTGAATGGTATGGATCAATTTCTATTGCAATGTATTTCAGAGCTTTATTTCCAAATAGATCTGGAAGATGACACTGAATATAAAAATCAACCAATAAAATCTCCAGCTAGCCTGCAAAAATGGAACCAGAGAGTAACTTGAGCCCTTTCTCTGAATCAGATTTAGTCTCCTTTCTTTCTAGAACCCTTGTGTCCCCACTGTGTGCCTCAGTCTCCCACCTAGGCTTTCTCCACCATCAGACCTGAAATAGGTCTCGTGTTCTTAATGTTACTCTGAGCGTTCATGAACATTAACACTCTAGTAACAGATTTAACAGCTCCCTTTATTACCTCACAGTGAATGAGGTGAGGATTTGCATTGAGACTGAGTATGTGTAGTCTCTACCCCTAATCCAAACCACTGGTAAAACGGGCAGAGTCCTGCACAGCAGAAAGGGCTTAGATGGACCTGAATGCTGGCTCGGCCGCCTGCCAGCTCTGTGACTGTGTCCAAGTTACCTAAACTCTAAGCCTTGGATTCCTCATCTAGAAAAGGCAGATAATATTACCTACCTCAGAGGGATCTTGTGAGAATTAGAAATAGAATATGTAAAGCTTTGAGCACAGTGTCTAGAAATGCTCAGTACTATTTGTCGTATATCGGCTTTTATGCTTTGTGCAAGTATCCAGTAAGACCAGTTGCTAAACTTTGTTATATACATGTGAGATGAAAATGTATTCAACTCAGCATGAAAGGGAAATTTCTATAAAAAGGAAAAAGTGGCATTTTTAAGGATATGTATATATATACATATTTTAATTTTTCTAATAGCACAACGATCTATCAAAACACTAGCTGATGGAGTTATTCTCCAGGTATTTCCTCTTTTTCTGATGATCCGTTTCCCTGGGTGAGCTAATTTTAACCTGCAAACCCAAATCATGGGGCTTCTTTTGGACATCACCTCTTTACTCGGTTGCTTTTGAGATCACTGCTTCCTGCTGGCTTCTGCCTCATCCCCAGTCCTGACCCTGAATTCTAATTTCATCCTTTGCTTTATGCTTGACATATTGAAGAGCTCAGGCCCGTCCCACTGGCAGGTGGCTTTCTAGGCTGAACTCTGTTCAAAACTCAGTGCTATTTCCACATTCTCTAGAGTTTATACCTCTTCATTGCTCATGTTTCATAATGTTTCACACCATCTACAACTTCTTTGGAGTCCCATCTTCTGACCAGTCTCCAGTACAATTTCCAGATTCTCTGTTTATTTGCTTGTGACAATTCTTCAGGTCTAGCTTGCCAGTTGTTTGCAAGAATCAGTGAAGAGTACTTGAGAATTTGGGTTTACCAGGACCTCATTTTGGAATGCACAGGAATCTGAAATGGGATTTTATTCTATGTATAAGCTGACTTGCTGAAAAAAAAAAAAGTGGGAAGGGCGGAGGGAGAGAATGATATTTTATATTTATTAAGCGTTCATATATTTTCATTTTGATCTTTAGGTGTGCAGCTATCACAAGGCATATAAAATGAACCAACTTTTTTTTTTTATTTTCAGAAAGCAGTAAAAACATTTATACAGGACATTATGAAATTCCAATGCCATCATTAGGACCCCAATCCTGCAGTTTACCAGTGCAGAATTGTCACTAAAGGCCGGTCTGCCAACAGGCAGGAAAGCAGGATGAAAGTATTCCCTTGAGTGCTAGAATTCTCACAATACTACTACTACTAATTAAGGGACCCTTCCTTTAGCTGGATAATCCTGCATCAATAGGCAACACGTTAATCCCAATGTAAACGTGTGGTTTTCTGACATCGGTCTAGCAAACACAAAACCTGAGAACAATTTCTCAGTTATCCCACTATAGTGATTCTTACACTTTGCTTCTTTGCTGTGTGATCCCTATGTATTCTTTCCCATTCATCATCTTCCGTATCCTGGTCAAATGTTTCAGGGTATGCTGGTAATTTGTCTTTGGGGCATTCTTCGAAGTAAGTGCGAATATATTTCCCCACAAACCACCCCTTGTACTCTTCAGGCATTTTGCATTCCAGGCCGCTATAGTGGACGTTGTAGTGATGCTTTAACCAGTAGTAGAGGTAGTGGATATTGTAGTCACATCTCCAAGGGTTATCTCGGAGCCACAAGAGTTTCAAAAAATACAAGTCTTCTAATACTCCATAGTCAAAGTTTTGTAGACTGTTGTTGGATAAATCTAACTCTTCTAAATGTGTGAGTCCTAAAAAAGCAGCTAGAAACAGAAAATATTTATTAACGCAACGAAGAGCTGGGTCACATCCAACTGTAGGGCATATTATCAGGACAAATACAAAAAATATAAGAGACTTAATTCTCCTGATTGTTCCAGGAAAGTGGTTGACATTCGGTAGGTGCTCAACACATATTTGTTAATGTAGAAAATACTTTCCTGGGACTGAATTGAGAAAAAAAGACTTACTACTGCTGGTAACAAGAGTTCATCTCATGTGTCAGCAAGGAAAACACACCAGGCAAATGAGTTTGAGAGGCCTTCAGGAGATCTCAAGGATGGTAAAGGAATCCTTGCAATGATGAGAATTTCATAAATGATGAGGGAAAAATATCACTAGAAATAAACCCATTTTGCACTATTATCTATCTTTGTATTGTTTTCTCATTTCTCTCTAGTTTTCTTTACAGACTGTGCTTCCATTACAATGAAGTTATTGTTGTACCATTATTCACTACTTTAATAAATTTAACTTAGGCCATAGAATAACAAACATTTTAGTCTCTTTTAGAGGTAACTCTAAAACTCAATTGCATGGATACTTTTGATGGGTGTAAGCCCAGGGCCCCGGGACAAGCCATGCTTGTCTTACAACTCTTTGGTTCTCATGCAGCAAGACAGGAGGCTCTCCGCTTCCAGATTCTTCACACTGTGGCCTAGCTTTGTGGAGACTGGCTACCAATGACTGACCTCCACACTAACATGACGATTGCTTCAACTGGGAGAAGGATGACTCTGTTGTATTCTTATTCACTGTGAAATGAAAATTGCTTTTGACCTCACAACTTCAAGATACCCCCAGGTTTACGTCATCTATACAGGCTAAGGTGTAAGTGTAGCATAGTGTTGTTATTGTGGGAAAATTTTAAATTATCATTTCTTAATATTTTAAAAAGATGTTACTAACACTAAAATATGCCTTTGTAGCTCCAGAATATTCATTCTCAATTTTCACTTTCTACAATGTTAAAATCCTACTGTTCTATTAATGGTCTTAAATTACCAGTAAGAAAAGCAGAAGTAACAACTGAACTGAAAATATTTATGATATTAACACTGAATTATTAATAATATTAAAATAATTTTTATAGATAGGATTTTTCAAATTGAAGTAGCACTATGAAGGCATGTATGTTACAAATCTGATCAAAATTGCAGTAATTCTCAGTTCTTTCCAAATCCAGTGTGCTTATATAACGTCCTGTCCTCATTTTTGCCAGAGGCTTTGCTTCTTATTAGCAAATGGGGAGGAGATTTGAAGGACGGGAAAGAGAATTAATCTGGATCTAGGATTAGATAAAATACATCTGGCTCTGGCTTGAGCACATTTTATCTTAATTTATGAGCTTGGTGCTTAGCAGATTGTTTCAAGTTTATTTTAAATTTTTTTAAAGTTTTTAAAATTCTTTTTTTAAGACTTTTTTATTTATTCATTTGAGAGAAAGAGAGTGAGAGAACATGAGCAGGGGCAGGGGGAGGGGCAGAGGGAGAAGCACACTCCCCCTGAGCAGGGAGCCCGATGCAGGGCTCCATCCAGGGACCTAGGGATCAAGACCTGAGCCGAAGGCAGACCTTTTTTAAAGTTTTATTTATTTTTTTAGTAATCTTTACACTCAATGTGGGGCTCAAACTCACGATCTGAGATCAAGAGTTGCCCGCTCCACTGACTGAGCCAGCCAGGCACCCCTCAAGTTTATTTATTTTTTAAAGATTTTATTCGTTCATTTGAGAGAGAGAGAGCATGAGTGGCTGGGGGACAGGGAGAGGGAGAAGCAGACTCTCTGCTGAGCATGGAGCCGGACCCGGGGCTCAGTCCCAGGACCCTGGGATCATGACCTGAGGCAAAGGCTGACACTTAACCGACTAAGCCACCCACGTGCCCCATTCCCTCAAGTTTTCTTTAAACAAGTCGTTAAAGTCTTGCCTTAAACAAGTTGGGACTTAATGGATAGCAAAGAAAATGCCAAATCTGAATTTCCATTTAAAAATCACTATGTGTTTAACATATTACTGACCACATATTCTTATTTTTAAAATCTATTCTACAAAAAACACTTTTATTTGGACCAACTGAATAACTATTGCTTAGTAATATATAATATTATAACCTTCATAAAGCAACATTTTGGTAAATACTTCTCTGAGTGCCAAACAAGTTCTAATTTAGGCAGCATGTTTAATTTAACCTTTTTATTATTTAGTTTTTAAAAAAACTAAATTGCATTTACTACAAATGTTGTCATAAGGGAAAAAAATCAAAGAATACCCATCACCCATTTAAAGGGCTATTCTGTGGAACTTACCAGGATCTATGAATTCAATGCCATTGCTGCTGAGGTTTAATTTTTTTAGCTCATGAACATCTTCAAACTCCTTGGGTCGAAGTTGGTTGATTTTATTGTATGACAAGTCAAGTTTAACAATATCTGGAGGGATGTTGTTTGGAACTTTCTTCAGCTCTGAAAAATTAATAACATTCCGATTATCGAGGTTTCCCCTCACCCCATATTCTCTGTCACTCTTCCACCTGTGGTTGAAGAGTCGGCTCTTAAAGGGGAATGGAATTATCTAAAGCCAAAGAACATTGGTATGAACAAGACTTAGAATGTGCTAACTCCACCAAAGCCCTGTGGACCAGGTGCCTCACACGCAGAGGAATGGGTATCACTCCTTGCTGAGCTATTCAGAGAAGTGTCCTTGAGGTGGCAGCAAGAAATCAAGAAGATAGCAGGCATCAGGTAAGGCAGTGGGGCTCACTCCTGGCTGTCTGTTAGAAGCACCTGGGAAGCTTTAGAAAAAAAAAAAGCTAAAAGAAATGAAGCCAATCACATCACTCTATGTGCATCCCCTCCCAATCCCTTCCCACCTGCTCTAGGAGTTTTCACTATTAACTATTGCCTCTTTGTTGTATTTTCATTTCATCCCTCTCTTTCGATTCCTTCTGCTAACAAAAAAGCGCAGGTCTCTCCACCCTAAAAAAAGAACAAAAAGCTTTTGACCTTGATGGCCCTCAAGCTGCTCTCCTATTGCTCCTTTCGTTGGATGCTAAAATTTGAGAAAAGTGTAGTCTTGACTTGTTGCCTCTGCTTCCTCCTCACCACATATTCCCTGAATCCTTGTGATTTAGTTTATACTCCACCACCCCTAGATGCCTAGATTCCTCAGGAACAACAATAACAGTATTATTGTTATTACTATAGAAAAAGCCTCTGGAAGAAGAGTCCAGGTTCTTTTTCACAGGTGAACAGGAAATCAGGGTTCACCTAATTTGTCTTTACTATTTGTTTCTCTTTAAATCGTGCTTTTAAAAATATATAGTGTTTATGTTATATTTTAGTGTAGTATTTGTACTTTCTCTTTATCTTTAGCAAAATATTCTAAGGTTTTATTTAATTTTAAGGAGAGCAAGTGAAAACCTTGAAGAGACACATACCTGTTTCCACAAAAGAAAACGAGAAGCAGTAAAATGTCCAGATTAATTGACATCTGAGAAATAGCATGGTCCAAAGGCTTTCTGAATAAAATTTGTTGAACTGGGTACAGTAAAATAAGCTTATAATACGTGGTATCCATTTGTCCATAATGCCCTTTTTGGTACAGAATAATTGAATTGCTGATAATTTTTTCAAAATAGTAAAAAAAACCAAAAACCAAAAACCAAAAACCAAAAAAAAAAAAAACACTCCGGTATTTAGGACTTATCCCATAATATATTTTTCATAAAGACTCAGGCTTATTTTTTCCCTCTTTTAATACACAGAATCCATGGTCCTAAATGGAATGGCATTGGTAGTTCGTTCTTTAGTATCCTCATTATTGCTAAATTTGCTTTCTCTCCTTGATGGGATCTCGGTATCTTGATATCTATGTGCAGGAACTATTCTAGGTGTTCTAACAAGTGACAAGAACACTATGGACTAAGTATTATTATTATTCTCATTTTACAGATGAGGAAACTGAGGCACAATTTTCCTATAGTCATAGCCCTAGGATTTAAACACACATGCCAGCTTCAGAATATATACTTCTATCCACTATGCTCTGTTGCCTGTTCCTGGGAACTTTCTGCCTCATTTATGCTGTTCCATCTGCCCTAGAATTCTCAAGACTGGCAAAGGGTAAAGTTGGAATGGGGGAACAACTGAGGTGGAGTCAATATATTGGGGTGGCCATGAGACCTTCCTAGCTCTATATTTAAAATGACATCTCCCAGTTTTCAATTGGGCATTAACATTAATACTACCTTTACCTGCTTTTCCTCAATTGGTAAGTCATCACCATCAGACATAGTATACATTTTACTGATTGCTTTCATTTTTGTACCCTCCCCACCACAGAGGCTTCATGGTGGAGGCTTAGGACAATGCCTAATACATTCTAAATAAACAATGGTATGTGGCAGACAGCTTCTAAAATGGCACTCAATGTTCTTCTCTACTGATACATATGCCCTTGTGTCAACCCCTCCCCTTGAATATGGCCTGAACCTAGTGACTTGCTTCCAACAATAGAATGCAGCAATTGTGATAGGATGTCACTTCCACAATTAGGTTACAAGAAATTGTGACTTTCATTTTGCCAGCAGACTCTCTTCTGCTGACTTTGACGAAGTAAGCTGTCATGCTGGAGAGGCCTATGTGGCCAGAAATTAAGGGTGGACTCTGGCAAACAGCCAGCAAGGAATTCAGACCCTCAGTCCAACAACCTTGAGGAACTGAATTCTGCCAATGGCCATATGAGCTTGGAAGAGGAGTCTTTCCCAGTTGAGCCTTCAGATGAGCCCATAGGTATGAGTCCTGGTCAATACACTGATTGCAGCTTTTTGAAAGATCTGGAAGCAGAGGACCCAACTGGTCTGGTTTCCTGACCCACAGAAACTGTGAGATAATAAATCTGTGTTGTTTCAAGCCACTAAGTTTTGGGGTAATTTATCATAGTCAGCAACAGATAATACGTTGTAAATAATAAAAGCTAATTAAATGTTGAGTTTAATGACTTAAGAATACTAAGGACTCTTGTAATAAAAATGCTTTTAAAATAGGGAGTGATTTTATTTTTGTCTTTGGTAAGGCATTGTTCTGTTTGACCTAGAATTTTGTCTGCCAATATATTGAAAGGTTAAAGATTTTAAGACTTGAACTTATTATAATGTTGCAACAGTTAGGTAATCCTCCCTTTATGATCATCAAGACCCTAACTGGAGAGCTATATTCTCTCTTGGGTCCTACATGTAAACAAGGAGATGGAGATCCCAGCAATAATTAAAAACCATGGAGACAAATGAGGACAGATCAAAGAAATAATTTTTTGACATTAAATGTTTGGAATAGGGGCACCTGGGTGGCTCAGTCGTTAAGCGTCTGCCTTCAGCTCAGGTCATGATCCCAGGGTCCTGGGATCGAGTCCCGCATCGGGCTCCCTGCTCGTCGGGAAGCCTGCTTCTCCCTCTCCCACTCCCCCTGCTTGTGTTCCTGCTCTCGCTATCTCTCTCTCTCTGTCAAATAAATAAATAAAATCTTAAAAAAAATATTTGGAATAATTATTGAAAATGTCTGTGGCATCTTCTTAGAAAGGTTTCAGAAGCAGAATAGAGTTTTATTTCACAATACTCAGGATCTCACCTCTTCTTAGTTACTCCGCTGCTACCATATTGGTCTAAGCCACTATCAGCTCTTGTCTGGATCATCCCCAAAGTGTCCTAAGCCCATGTGATACAGTCAAAACATAGATCATGTCATTTTCCCAGATGGCTTCCAGTCCTCCAGATGGTAGAATCCTCCTGTTGTTCCCATCTCACTATGAAGAAAAGCCTAAGTCCTCATTAAGGTCCAATAAAGCCATTAAGGACTACAGGTCTTCCTTGCCACCATAGGCAGTATCTCCTAGGTTCTGGAAACCAGGCTGTTTATCAGGACTTGCTTGCTGAACCCACATCTGCTGGGTTGGACATGGGGTGGATGACAGAGACCTCCCAAGCAACCACTGTAGGACAAGCTGAAGTGGGTAAACCACAAATTAATGGGGAGAAAAAAATGTTTATGAGAACTCCCTGAAACCCAACTTAAGCAGTGTGACAGGCCTGTGGATGCTAGAAAGGGATTATGAATTGCAGAACCAACTTTGGCATTGTCAGCAGTAAGAACAGGGTAAAAATAGGATCCACAAGTAAAACCAGGAAATGCAACCCAAAGCCTTTACTGGAATGGCTTAGAAAAACAGGGAAAAATCTTATTTGTTGTACTGATGAGTAAAAACAGTTCTTTAGTTCTTTTATCTTAAACTTGAATGAGAATTGCAAATATTGATGCTGAGTGTGTGTGTCTTTGATAAAGATTATATAAATACGAATCTCCCCAGGCCACAAGTCACATTTGGTCAATGCCCCCATTTCCAGACCAGGCACCATGGAGTTATTTGCTGCTACTTAAAATTCCTGGTGAACACTCAAAAAATACCTCATTTACTCTATTATCACCCTTGACAAACCTTACTCCTCCCCAACCAAAACCTGCTGAGTTTGAGGAGCAAACTGGAAAATTTTCTCCACATAATTTCCCATTTAGTGGGCTATCTTAGTTGTCAGCAATGTCAGGACTACTCTGAAGGCTCAGTAACAGCAGGCAAAGAGCCATAAGTGACCCTGATTTTGCAAATAAAATCTTACTAATCATTGTTCAAACTAGCAGTGAAATTAACTTCAGAGACAACTAAGAGCAATTTACCTGCATAATTCTCCCCGGCCCTAATCTTAGAAGTAAAACGAATCCTTAAAATTGTAAATTATTCTGGTAAATGTGAAGCTAAAAGGCAGTTTTCAACTCTCACTTTCATGGATTTTTGGCAAATCCATTTACCTCAATATGGCATAAACACGCCTTTCAACTAATCTCATATTCCCTTTGAAAGACTAAGTTTTGTCGGCCAAGTGCCTGTCCTCCAGTGAATAAAGCTATTATTTCTTTTTCTTGCTGTCCAACGTTTAAGGCAAAATTAGTGATCTTTGAGGTCTGTGTCTCAAACTGGCACATATTGGGTATCCTATGCACACCATCTGACTCATCATCTGTCAGCCAGGAAAGTCACAACTCCTGAGTTAGGGGAATCTATATTTGAGTTTCCTGTGTGCTTCCTGTACATGGTATATTGTACAGAGCCTAAGAGGAGAGTCAGTACTGGGAGAAAGCAGCCAGAAAGCTTTTCTATATTTTTCTTGGTGAATAGATGTACCTAGAATCTTGAAGGAAGAAATGACATTGCATGGTGGTCAATGGCTTGGGGACTGCCTGTGTGACTTTAGAAGGGCAACTTAGCTTCTGTTTCCACCTTTATGAGGCTAATAATAGTGCTCTTTGAAGTTTATGAGGAGTAAATTACATAACGCATGTAAACTACCATGTCTTAGGCACACGGAGCATTTAGTTGACAGCTAATTAATACCACTGCTAGTTCTACTCTTGCTAGCATGTTTTAGGCTTCTTTAGATTCTACATAGTATCTAACATGTGGAACATAAGCAAAAGTATTACTACACTTTGGCAGGGATTCTTCATATTTGACATTTGGTATCTATTTATAGAATGGAATAAGGAAAATGACAGTAAATTAAATTCAGATTGTCATATTAGAAATTCTAGCCATGATTTTTAATTCTATGTATTTTTATTTTTTAAAGGTTGCTTAAATTATTGCTTTTGCAAGAACAAAGAAAGCAGCTCAGTTATTATCATCTGTCTAAAGCACATGGCCCTGTGTCAGGCAGTACCTGGGAGTACAGGAGGTTTAAGAGACAACACCATTGTCTTTAAACTTATGGGAATCAACAATCCCCCATGATGAAAAATAAACAATCAACTGAATCAATAGATTTATATCAACTATAGTGAAAGCAATTTATACTGATATTAAAAGACAAAACTACCCTTCATTTTGTAATCTAAAAGGTCTATGCTCTGATTTATGTAAGTCATTAATGTTTGGAGGAACTTGAGTTGTCCTTTCATGGATGAGCCAGTATTATTATATATATAAAGTATGTATGCCATGAAACTTTACATTGTTTCCAGTAAATAATATGTGTATTTTAAAACAAGGGGCACTTTCTGCATCCCAAATTTATGGGGCGTATCTGGAAGGCTGTGTTTAGACAACAATAAGTTGAGGAAAGAAAAAAATAAAAAATGTATCTGTTTTTATAAGTTGACGTTTGCCAAAAGAAAATGGGACAAAAATATCGTGGAAAATAAGACAAAGGCAGAAATAGGCTCATTGTGGAGGGAAATAGACCAAGAGCAGTACAGCAGTAAAAATGGAAGCTATTTCCCTTCACGTTATTTTTTTGTTGTTCTTTTTATTTTTTTTAAAGTAGGCTCCACACCCAGTGTGGAGCCCAACACGGGGCTTGAATTCACAACCCAGGGCTTGAATTCACAACCCTAAGATCGAGAGTCAATGCCTAACCGACTGAGCCACCCAGGTGCCTCCACGTTATCTATTCTTAAATTATAGTGTAATCTAGCTGTAGAAGTCTTCAATTTTGTGTTGGTGGCATTTTTCTCAGATTATCAATGAACCTAACTATACATATTTTCTCTTTATCACCTGTTGTAGGAAGTGCAAATTAACTTTAGCTTGAGGGGAGAGCCTCGGCTATATCAAGTAATTTTTTTTTAAGATTTTATTTATTTATTTGACAGAGAGAGATACAGCAAAGAGAAGGAACACAAGCAGGGGGAGTGGGAGAGGGAGAAGCAGGTTTCCTGCCGAGCAGGGAGGCTGATGTGGGGCTCGATTCCAGGACCCTGGGATCATGACCCGAGCCGAAGGCAGATGCTTAACAACTGAGCCACCCAGGTGCCCCTATCAAGTAATTTTTCTAACCCAAGTCTAGGATTAGCAACTCTGGTATTAGTTTTTTTTAATTAAGTTTTTAATCTAAGCATCACAAAGTCACTCCTAGTAACACATGCTTTTCAGCATGGAACACTAAGTACTCACTGTAACAACATCAGGGAAATTCTACCCAATCTGGCTGCCGAGAAACGGCATATACTGACTTTTCTGGAATTCTTTATGCTTCCATTGTTGAGGCAGCTTTTTGTTTCAACATGATCAGATTAAGGAAGATGGCAGGATCAGGCAGACCAAGGTTCGAATCTTCGCTTTGTTGCTTACCTGCGAGACCTCAACCAAATGACTGAAACTCCCTAAGCTTCATTTTTCCCAACTGTAAATGGGGATTCTACTACTTTCCTGGAAGTTGTGAACAGCATGTGTGTGGAGTACCTGGAGAACAGTAGGTGTTCTATGAGTGAGCACTTTCTCTCAAACTCAGAGGATCCTGGAAGGGCATCTCCCTGGTTATGATGCCATAATTGTTCTCCTATGGCAGCAGATGATATACATTTCACAGGGTGCTGTAGCAAGCACCCCTTTCCGTGTCCCAAGGTCTTGGTGTGCTCTAACAAGGTGCCTCTCTGGAGTCTGAGAAGGAGGGCAAGGCTTGAGCACTTCCTTGCTGATAAATGAACAGATTTTCTCCTGGTTCAGGTTGCCTGCTTCTTCAGCGTCAACAAATTCCTGCCTGTGGTTCCCCTGAAAGGAGCCTGAGTTTCTGTGTTGCTCTTAACCTTCTCTTTTTGTTCTTAAAGAAACAAAACAAAGCAAAACCTCCTAAACTAAGTGGAAGGAATGACACCATGTTCTGATATGACCCTAACCCAGTGACATCTAGCTTTAGTTGAATAGTGTGAATAAGTCATTAATCCATGCCAGAACTGAAACAGACACTGTCCGGGGCACCTGGGTGGCTCAGTCGTTAAGCGTCTGCCTTCGGCTCAGGCCCTGTTCCTAGGGTCCTGGGATTGAGTCCCGTGTCGGGCTCCCTGCTCGGCGGGAAGCCTGCTTCTCCCTCTCCCACTCCCGCTGCTTGTGTTCCCTCTCTTGCTATATCTCTCTCTGTCAAAGAAATAAATAAAATCTTAAAAAAAAAAAAAGAAAGAAAGAAACAGACACTGTCCTATGGCAGGTTATCCTAGGGTAGATAGGGAACCTAGCGGTTCCCAGACCACACTTCAAGAACGTCTTCACTAACCCGTCAAGAGCATTACTAAAATTTCCCATTTTCTTATTTCACGAATTAATCCTGCACGTGCAGACCCTGCTCAGTGTCAGACCAAGACTCTGTGGGCTGTAAAACTCAGCAATGATTTTTTTTAGGAAGTAGGTAATATTCTGGAAAGATTTCCTTAGCCTCAGATTTCTTGGATTAACTACTTTCAACTTAGTTCTTTCAATATTTTTAGGTTTTAGTTTGGGAACAATGAAGATACAGGATATTAGCAAGACTTTATTAAAGCCTTGAGACCAGATTCTTAGCAGCACGGACACGAGGTCACTACCTCCACGTGGCCTCCCTCTCACAGTGCTCCCACGTGGCCTCCTCTACTGTCCCCCCAAATCACCAACCATGTTGAGTCTGAACCCTAGAAAAGCTTGGAGTAAATTCCATTGTCATTGGGGAAAGACCTCTGGTAGAACTGACACCAGGAATCCCAAGGCATGGTGGAGTGGAGGGAGGGTTCTAAGATTCAAAGAGCATTTTTAATCATCCATGAAAAGGAAAAACTAAGAAGCTTACAAACCTTTCCGTTTGCAGTCCAGCGTTTGTATGGGAAACACGTAATTGTAGCAAAGAGAGGAGTCCACCTCCGGCTTGATGACAGGGGGTCTCCCGGACACTTGGGGTCTCGGGTCTAACTGTTTGCTTTCTTCTTCATTGCATAACTGTTCAGATTTTATCTGCCGCAGTTTTTTGTTTTTCAGTTCTTGGGGGCTCTCACACTTGGCGTAGTTCCCCAAATTCCGGTTTCTTGGAATCTGCAACATGGAAATAAGCGTTTCCATCTCACATGTACAGTGCCAGGGGTTGTCATAAAGACGCAGGTACCTCAGGAGAGGCGTATAAATGAACACTTCCTCCGTCAAGACTTTCATTTGGTTGTGCTGCAGGAGGAGAGTGGTCAGTTTATTTAAACCAAAGAAAGCCTCGCTCTCAATTTTGGAGATCTCATTCTGTTGCAGATCCAGGCTCTTCAGCCTTTTAAACTTGGAAAACATCTTGTTCTTCAATATGCGGATCTTGTTTCTTGCTAACAACATGTGCAGCAAATCCTGAGGCCAGTCAGGCAGCACGTAAACTAGTTTTCTTTCCTGGCAATCTAAGTATTTCTCGTAAAGATACGTGTAGACTTCGCAGGGGAGGCCTGGTGCGTAGCGTTTGACCGGGTTGGAGCCTCTCCTGCTCCCACCTGCCCTGCCATGATTCGCTCGGCCTCTTGGGCCCCCCGGGCTTGCCTTGCGGAGCTCAGCGGCTTCACAAAAGAAGAGCAGAATTACCACGGTAACCACGCGCATCCTGACATCCAGCTGGTCCCAATTACTTGGTGTGACAGACGGAACAATAAAATATTCCTCTGAAATCCAAGTTTGGGTAATCTTAACTAATGCAGTTCAGGAACGATGAGACCCAGCTGAGGTACGAGGGGAGTCTCTAGGTTGCAAGAGAAAAAAATATATGAAGAACCATTGTGAGCATTGTGTTATTAACTGCAGTTTTAAAAAAAAATTCATTTTCTTTATATATATATTTTATTGTAGTATAATTGACATATAACATTATGTTAGTTTCAGTTGTATAACATAATGATTGGATATTTAATAAGTTTTTTTTACGCAAAGACATTGCAATTAATAAAGGCACATTCTGAACAGTGGTGTAGTGCACCCTCCCACCTGCCTGGTTTGGTGGCTAAACGTTTGGGCCCTGAGTTGGAATGAAGACTCTCCTACTTGCTTAACTATGTGACCTCATGGGGCACCTGGGTGGCTCAGGCAGTTAAGCGTCCGCCTTTGGCTCAGGTCATATTCCCAGGGTCCTGGGATCAAGCCCCACATCCTGCTCCTTGCTCAGCAGGAAGTCCGCCTCTCCCTCTGCCTGCAACTCCCCCTGCTTCTACACACACACACACAAACACACATGCTCTCTCTCTGACAAATAAATAAATAAAATCTAAACAAACAAAAAAACAACTATGTGACCTCAAGCTAGTTATTTAACCTCATCTTCAGTATCTGTAAAATGGGGCTGAGGATACCGTGTAGTGTTTGTTGTTGGGAGAATGAAACAGGCTCATGCGCAGAAGACACTCATCAGCGCCAGGTCCCGGGGAAGTACTCCACAGTGTTAGGGCTTAGCATCAGGAAAACTGAAACATGTAATGTAACAGCACATTGGATTCAAGACATTAAAGGGATTCTTCTTACAGCCTTGAGACAAGCAAAAAAAAAAAAAAGTAGGTCTTCAATGGCTGTCCTCCCCAGCTTATTTTTTTTCTTTCCTGGACTGTCTCCCAGTTAACCAGCCACATTGAATGTGAGATCCAGAAATGCTCAAAGTATACTGCCCTGTCCTTGTCAAGTCTTGCATATCTTGGCTCAGATGTCACCTCAGCAAAGCCTTCTCTGAGCACTCTATTTAAAGTGGCACCTTTTCCACTTGCTAGCCACTCTCTACTCCCTTTTTTATATTTTTCTCCATAGTACTTATCACGATCTGTCAAAGTAGATATTTTACTTCTTTTGTTTACCGTCAGTCTCCCCCATCTAGGATGTGAACTGCCCAAGGGCAGGGATTTTCGTCTTTTTTGTTCACTGCTGTATTTTTGGCACCTGTAGAGTTTCTGACACATAGCGGTTTCTTGATAAATACTTGTTGAATGCATGAGTTACTTACTCTCATGTAACTATTCTATAAAAATATTAATATCAGTTTAGTTATTACATTGTTTTCAGAATCTATTTTCTTCCTTAACAGGTATTACTGATGACTTCTAAGTTCTGCACATTGTAAAGAATTGTTTTCATTTTTAAATTCTGAAAGTGATTTTGGTTTGCATTTATTACTTAGGACACAGTCCGTTCTTGGCAAATGAAGAAATGTTCACAATCGGTTTATAATTAATAACATTTCTGTTGGTATTATTGTGGGGCTAAGTGGTTATGAGCAGCAGATAGGTTTTCTATTCTTTGTAGCAGTGTGAATGCCAGGATCACCCCCTTTCCTGGAGTCTTCCTGTTTGATGGGGGTCTCCCCCACCTCGAATGACTTCCCCCTCTTTGCCTCACGCATTCCTCCCCTTTACTGTTTTGTGTCCTCTCCCCTAGATATTTCTTTTCTGTCTCAGATTTGGAGTTTTACTTCCTGTCGGTCTAGACCTGGAGTGCGAACTGGGTAACACTCTGCTATCCAGATCTTTGTGTACATGTGTCATCTTCCCTGCGAGACCATCAGCTGTGCAGTTGCTTCTGGTCCCAGAGTTAGTCAGGCACTTGGCCTTTCTGATCCTCCACTCCTCTGTCTGCAATTCATTGTAAACTGTATGTAAATCTCATTTAAACAAATCATAGGGGCGCCTGCGTGGCTCAGTCGTTAAGCATCTGCCTTCGGCTCAGGTCATGATCCCAGAGTCCTGGGATCGAGCCCCGCATTGGGCTCCCTGCTCCATGGGAAGCCTGCTTCTCCCTCTCCCACTCCCCCTGCTTGTGTTCCCTCTCTTGCTGTCTCTCTCTGTGTCAAATGAATAAATAAAATCTTTTTAAAAAATCATAAATATTTTATTAATTATTATACATGCTGAATTATTTCTAATATCCATGCTGATGTATGAGGGGGATATGTGCTGATGTCTGCAACTTACTTTAAAGTGCGTAAAAAATAAGATGGATTGAAGGATAGATAGAAAGATGGATGTATAGATGCAAAGACAGTGGAATATAAATAGAATCTAGGTAGCAGGGATGTGTGTTGTACCATTCTTCAAGTCTTTCAACTTTCCTGTTTGAAAATTTTTACAATAAAATGGTAAAACAAAACCCAAAAAAGTCATGCCATGAAAAAAGCAGGTTGGTTTTCTTCCCAGCTAAAAGCTCTAAGTATATACTTTTTTTCCCCAAAGTAGTATTTTCCTTTTTTCCCCTTTCTTCTGTAATCCTCAGATGATAATAAACATGTGTATATATTTTAATTTTAAAGCCAGAAGAAATTCGTTTGCTGGGAAAAGGAGCCATATACTTAGAACAAATTACTTGCCAAGGGTTTTGTTTGTTTTCTAATGAATACACTGCACTGAACGTAGGAAGGAAAATTTTAAGTTTAAACATTTGCGCTATGTTGTTTAGTGATGTTTAACTTGTTCGGTTTAGGCCTCTGTAGAAATCTGCAAGAGCTGAATGTCTCTGACTGCCCAACACTAACAGTGAGTATATGAAGCTTTAAAAATTTTACTCTTATTTATACAGATTCAGACTTGCTATATTGCAGTGCCAATACACAGAGATTTTGCCAAAATACATGCCTGTGTGCCTATTTAGGATCAAATGTGTAAAAAAGCAAATTATGTTAAACATTGGCAAGAAGTCTTACCCCATTTGTATAATGCTATTATTAATCCTGTAGCTATATGCCCAAGGTTGGAGTCTCTGGAAAGTGGAAACTATTCAACAATTACACAAAAATGAATATATTTATATTTAGGGCCATGTGTGTATGAGACAGAAAAAAACCTGGGTCCCAGTAAAGACAATAGGCTCATTTTAGTGGTCTTCATGGCTACCAATTGTGTGCCAATGGAGACAGAAATGAACATATTACCCTGGGCAGCTCCTTCCTGGTCCCTGTCAGGTTTTTTTACCCTGGTCAGGCTTTTCTTTTACTTCCAATCTGTCTTCCCCCGTGAGCACGTACACTTTCTAAGAGGCAGATCTGATCATTTCACTGCCATTTTCCATCATTTATACACACATTCGTGTGTCATCTACACTGTTCGATAAAGTCAAAGCTCTTTAACATTACTATGCCTTGGGAGACCCTCGGTGGTCTTGCCTCTGCCTCCTTTCTCAGCCTCATCTTGCTCCAATTCCTGCACACACATTTAAGTTTCAGCAACCATACACTGCTACACTTTCTTTGCTGCATGAGCCAAGCTGCTCCTTGCTTGTTTTGCTTCTGCTCGGACTGTGTTCTTTGCATGGAATGCCCTTTTGCTTTGTCCTCAGGTGTTGCTTTCCTCTTTGTCAGGCTTTAAGGCTTACTTTAGGTACCACCTCCTTTACCAAGACATCCCTGTCCCCCAGGGCTGGGTTTGTTGCTGCTTCTCTGGGTCCCTATAACAAGTAGCCCTCATCAGAGCATTTCTGCCTCCTCCACTAGCCCAAGAGGCCCAAAGGGCAGGAGATGTGTCTTATTTTCTGTGGTAGTCCTAGCACACAGCACAGATATTGGCATAGTAAATAGTCTACAACATTAAGAATGAATGAAAGTGTATGGAGATACCGAGTAGGTAATGGAGAGCATGGCATAGAACTTGAGATTCCATCTTGGGTTGACATTTTTGTATTCTTAATTACATCACAAAAGTGAATATGATCAACCTAGAGAGAGAAAGAAGGTATGAGAAGAGAACTTAGGATTGAACCTTGGGGATTGCTGACTTTTAAAAGTAGGTAGAGGAGAAGAAATAGCAAAGAATCTTAAGAAAAAACAGTAAGAGGGGGCGCCTGGGTGGCCCAGTTGGTTAAGCATCGGCCTTTGGCTCAGGTCATGATCCCGGGGTCCTAGGATCGCGCCTTGTATCAGGTTCCCCGCTCACTGGGGAGTCTGCTTCTTCCTCTCCTCCCTGATCCTGCCCTCTCTTGCTATCTCTCTCTCAAATAAATAAATAAATAAATAAAATCTTAAATAAAAAAAAAAGAAGAAACAGTAAGAGAAGTAGGGTGAAAACAGAAGAGCCTGATTTTGTCATGCTCTTCATTCAGCAGCAACTCCAGCATGACATCCACACCTCCCAGCGACGTCATTCTAGTTCTTTCTTTCAAACTTCTGTTTCATTCTGTGGATATTTTTAGTACCTACTACATTAAAGATATATTTATCTTTATATAAAAAGATATATAGGGAATTTATATGCTATAAAATATAGGTGTTAGAGGGAATTGAAAATGAATCAAGTTTCAGTTCCTGCCCTCAGAGAGCTTCAGTTCTACACTTGAATAACAGATCACAGTCTTTAAATTTGGCTCTCTAATAGGAAACAAATGCCATCTGCATTGAATTTGTGAATATCAAAGTCTTTTCCAATTTTGGAGTCTAATACTATACAGGGCTGATAATTTTATCCAGCCACACTTTACTATTGTTTTTCCCTTTGAAGCATAGACTGGGAGACAGGTTTACATTTAACGAGTTGAGTAACATTCATTCAAAAAGCTTTATTTCTAAGAGGCTTGCCTTATGAATATATTACATTCGGAAAGATTTGGGTGCATGGTGGACCAATTCAGAAACCATTTTGCAATGAAGATACTCAAACAGTGTTTGCATTTATGTGTTCACGCATTTGGGGGTTGAACCTTGAGCTCCTTTAAATGCTGAGAATGGGATTCGTCTGAAGTTTCTTGGATGTCCAAGCTCCTCCAGACAGGAAAATGCAGTGAATGGTTTGCTTCCTTATCTTAAAGGAAAAATGAGCTTCCTCTTTGGTACATAAAACATACTTCATCTTCCTCTTCCTGGCCCCACATTTTCATCTTCTCTGTGGCTACCTCCCCGAGGGTGTATTAGCCAGCTTGCTATCCTTTCCTTGCCCCATCTCACTTGCATTTTGGCCAGTCATTCAATAGGTGCATAATCACTTTGATATTTGGTTGGCACCATGAGCATTTTTGAAGATAGATTTCATTTATATTAAATTACAATGCCATTTATTATGATTCTTCATTCCTTCTGGGAAAGTTGTACTATATATATATATATATATATATATACACACACACACATATATATATATTTTTTACTCTATCCATGTATACTAAATCCTGCATTTTAGTGGTGGAATATGTAGAAAAATTGCTGGCAGCTTGAATGCAGTGGCAAGAATACAGTGCTTATTGAATCCCTGCACTTGCACTCATGCAGCGTCGGCACACACAGCATTTCCTATAGCAGAACTGCAGGAATTTGTTATTGTATTACCCATGACTCCGAGGAATAGCTAGGAATGGAATGCTAAACATTGATGATCCTACTGAAAATAAACCTTTGCCATCCTTAGTGGTGTTGGAGGTGGCCATATTGAACATGCAGAATTCTTTCCCAAACCATATTCCCTAGGCAAGGGACAATTTACTTCTTCCAGCAATGGCCTATTCTTTCTAGGACCGATGTGCCACAAATATTTAAAACTAGCTGACCTTGTCGGTGTTCCTGGGGAGACTCATCCACTATCATTAAATAAATAAAAACCTGCTGCTACTTACTCATACTAGAGCATTTTACAAGCAGTTACGCATATAAGAAGCAGCTCCACCACAATCAAAGCTTGCAATTCATTTGGTCTTGTAAATGTCAATTTAGGGCCTCAGGCTTGAAATGACTATTTGTTTTCCTATCTCTCTCAAAACACAGCTGCTCTGTTTTCTTGCACCTCAGTGTCAGCTCTTAGGGAGGGCTGCTTGAATCTTGGAGAGTCTCACCCACAACACCCTCAACACTGAACTTCATGTTCAAATGTATGTACCTTGTTTTTTTTTTCTTTTGCTTCAGACCATTTCAAGTAAATTTGGTGAGACTCTGTTTAGCTGTTTTAATATATTCACTATAGGACCACAGAAACTTAATTACACACACACACACACTTCTATAAATATATATGTATAAAAATGGACTCACTTTTACTATTCCTGTCTTTCAGAATGATTTTAGCAAGTTTTAAAATAGATCAGGTTTTAATCACTTTCATGCATCTGAAGAGTCAGGAGTGGTTGACACTTTGACACTTGAACTCAAATTTCCTGTCAGCATTGAACTTGCAAGGGTTCAAATTTTACCAAAGTGTCACTGTGATGGAATGGGACTTTATTTCCAAAGAAAGGGCAGGGGAGAGAGTAGTGAAGCTTCAAACAAAACCATCACCTTCTGTTTAATTTGATTTACAACTAATAACCAAGAATATGAAGAGACCAAGGCTTGCATATACTTTCTGGGAGAGAGATAATGGGGAAATCACAAAGCCTGCTAGACTTTGCTAAGATTCTCCCCTCTGTTTTCATGCAGGATGAATCAATGAGATACATCTCCGAGGGCTGCCCTGGAGTCCTGTACCTCAATCTATCCAACACCACCATCACCAATAGGACGATGCGAATCCTGCCCAGGTAAGGCTTGTGGTATCTGTATTACCCTGGAAACAGTTCTGCCCCTCGAGGCTCTGGCTTGCTCCCGCATTCCCCTTCTGCCAACACCCCCTCCCCCAGTGTGGCACCACAATGGTGGTAACTGCACACCCGCTTTCACGTCCCCAAGCTGGTGCCTATTCTCTCCCTCCCCGGGGCCAGGGGTGGGGGGGGCGTCCAACTTAAATAACAGGTCCTCTGCTTGGCCAGCGTTTTTGTGTCACTCTTGGAGCAAAGTGCCCAGTAGCTTGAATTAGGCTCTGCCTCTTTCTGGTCCTCCTTCCTGGGCAATGGAGCCCGGCTCCTAAATTCTAGTCCCATGTCTGGACTTCTCAACAATGGAACACCAGTGTCTTCCCTCCTTGGACCTTGAGCACTGCAGGCCCACATTCCCTCTTGCCATGCTCTGGTCACCTGCTGGTACCTCCACCACCTCCAGGAAACCTGGTACTTGTTGTTTTTTGATCTATGGACTGTTGACAAACCTGAACACAAATACTGCTTTTCCTCAGCTAGTGCTTCTTTGGAAGAGAAGGGACAGAAGAATACAAGGCATCACCAAACGTTGACAGAATATTCAAATTCTGCCTTCAGCTCACGTCATGATCCCAGGGTCCTGGGATCGAGCCTGTGTCCCTTGGGCTCCCTACTCAGTGGGGAGTCTGCATCTCCTTCTCCCTCTGCCCCTCCCTCCACTCATGCTCTCTCTCTCTCTCAGGTAAATAAAATCTTTTTTTTAAAAAGTGCATCATGTTTATAGCTGCAACATTGCAAAGACCATAAAAGATTGAGGAAATATTCTTTCAGGACTTGGAAACTATTACCTGATTCAGCAAAGAAGTCACTCATGTCACTGATGGACAAGTGAAATCTGCACATACATCTTTGTTGTTTCACTTTTGTCTTATTCATGAATGTAAATGAAAATATTCAGATTGAAACTATACCCATTCTTCAATATTTTTGAACTTTGTTTTTATTTTTTGGTGAAAACAAGAAATACATCAGAGTCACAGAATTTTATTTTTCCCTTGAACACAAAGAAGACAAAATTACTAGCTGCATTTATAAGTTTGGCAAAAGTCCATGAAAGCATTGTGTGAGAATCTACTGACTATATCGACTTTACAATAAAGAATATTGTGTATTTTATTATTATTTATAAGTTGTGTGTTATACATATTCCCTATCTCTAAGATAGTAAATGTAAAATTGTACAAATTTATAGTAAACATATACACATTTATATGCATATATGTTTTTAAAGTGCCAGTTGTTAGATATTACGCCAATAATTAGATATTAGATAGTATGCCAATAATTAAAGATAAAATAATTTAAGAAATAATTTATATTTTTATAATTTTTAGTCTTATCAGGAACATAGTCTAATTCTAAATTTTTTTTCAAATGTTTTATTAAATGTCTCAAAATTTTGTTTTATTCATATGGGTAATCTTTGTGGTATCTCTTCAATTGTCACTATGAATGCTATACTTTCTGATTTTAATTTCTCGTTATATTTTCTAAATGGTCATTTTTGGACTTGGGTACAGTACAAATATCTTTTAAGGTTTTAATTTGTAAGATTTAGTTGATTTCTTTCATTTGTAAGATTTAATATGAAATGACCTCTAAATAAGAATTTAGGCAAAGTTTCTAAGATTTCATAAGTATTGTTCTCATTTTCTAAACAAACTGTTGTATATTTGATTTTCTCTTTGACCCAATAATTATTTAGAAGAGAATTTTTGATTCCAAGTAGTTGAAGTTTCTTTGATTAAACTTCTGGTTTTAATTACTAATTTTGTACAATGTGGTCAAGAAATGTGGACTGAATTATTTCTACCTTTTGGAATTTATTGAGATTTCGTGGTGGACTAGTGTATATAATTAATTCTAGTAAATCATCCATGAATGTTTAAAACAAGAGAGTTTCTTTTAGAGAAAAAAATTTCTATGTGTATGTGTGTGTATATATATATATATATAAATTCTTGATATTTCATAGTATAATAGTGATATTGGTTGCCTTTTATAATCAAGCTTTAGTTTATTTTGATATTTTTATTTTACATATAAAGATTAATAAGTAGTATGTTTCATTATAGATTATAGCATTTATTCACATAAGATTATATTCTTTATCATGGTTGATATTTCTTTGCCTCAAACTCTTTATCTGCTATTAATATAGTCACCTTTGTTTCCTTTTGCTTGTGATTTTGTGGAATAATTTTATGTATCCCTGTATTTTTATTTTTTATATTTTAATTTTTTTAAAGATTTTATGTATTATTTAGAGAGAGAGAGCATGTGAGCGGGGGGGAGGGGCAGAGGGAGAGAGAGGATCTCAAGAAGACTCTGTGCTGAGCGGGATCCCACGACCCTGAGATCATGATCTGAGTTGAAATCAAGAGTTGGCCACTTAACTGATTGAGCCACCCAGGTGCCCCTGTATCCTTGCATTTTTAATCTTTATGTTGGTGTATTTTAGATTTGCCTTTTATATGAAGCACATAGCTAACTTCTACTTTAAAATTTTTAATTCTGACTTTTTAAGAGGTTAGTTTAGAAGATTATTTCCTTTCAAAATGGAGTATATGGTCTTATTTTTATCATCCTGCTTTATGTTTTTGATTTTTCTGTTACTGTACTGTACTCATGGTTTTCACCTTTTGCTATATACACTATGTTGTTGACTTTTATTGTCTCAAGGTATTTCAGAGGTATGTGCACATTCTGTTCTGTATTCTAACCAATGGCTATTTGTATTTTTTTAAAAAGATTTTATTTACTTCTTGGAGAGAGAGAGAGAATGAGTGGGGGTGCGGTGCAGAGGGAGGGGGGAAGACTGACTTGGGGCTCGATCCCAGGACCCAGGGATCATGACCTGAGCCGAAGGCAGACACTTAACCGACTGAGCCACCCAGGTGCCCCTGTATGTTTTTTTTAAAAACAACCTTTTAATATGTATTTCTCCATTGATCAAAGTCGTGTTGGAACAATGACTTTGGCCCCTCTCCCCGTGTTAGACCAGAGATCTAATACACTTTCATTCTCCCCTGAACTTGATGCTTCTCTACTTCTACCCTTTGTACATAAACACATATAAATCATGAGTTTTATTAATCATTTAACTTTCCTTTTAATATTGACTGTCATGTTTGTGATGATATTTATAATTATGTAGTCCTAACTCTAGTTTTGTCATTCATTGATGGTCCATTTGTTCCACAATTTCCTTATTCTTTAATTCTGATTTTTATTCACTCCATGATGACTGGAAATATAGTTTAAAAAACTCTGTATCTGAAAGATAAACAGCCATTGCTTTCTGAAAATTACTTTCTTTTGTCTTGGAGGGTGAACAACTCCTCTTGGCATATGGTTCTTGAATTATGTCCCTTACTTTACTCTTATAATCCTACAAATACTGCCCCATAATCTTTGATATTTCATGTTAAAGAGAAGTGTAAAGCCAGCTTGACTTTTTTGTTCCTTTGTTGGTAACTTATTTTTTCTGCTAATATGCTTGCAAGAATTTCCTTTTTCCTGAGAAATTAAAAACATTTTCCAAACTTATTTGTATTCTTTCAATTAACTTTTCCTGGAATATAGTAAACCTTTGAACATTGAAACTTAGATCTTTTCTCAGCCAAGGAAGCTATTTTTCTTTTTTAGTGCTTCTATTCTATTTGTTCAGGTTTTATCTTAAGAATCTTCTTTTATTTATAGGTTGAATTTTTACTGCTGTCTTTCAAAGCTGTCATCTACTCTCTTGTCATTTTTATATCTGTATACATTTCCTCAGCATACTACGGTCTCTATATCAGTAGTTCTCAAAGTGTGTTCCAAGGATAACTGTGTTGCAGTAAATGTTTAATAACTAATTTGGGTAGAGGCTAAGGGGATGTTCTGATTTCTGTAGTGTGAATACTACCACCATGATCAATTTTAAGCTACCAACATGATGTATCAAATGTGGAGTTGGGAAGAAATGCTAATAGTTGGCTCTCATGGGCTGGTGTAAACCAGCTCCAGTGACACCACTGTGGAGAGCCCCGACCCTCTCAGGAGTTCTAGAAAGTTCTCTAGTCCTCCAGTATAGAATATCACTCAGTCTTTTCTTTAGGCATTCCATATTGAGATATGTATGTGTATGAATATATGTGCATGTATGAATGTGTGTGTGTGTATATATAGAGAGAGAGAGAGAAAGAGAGAGAGAACATATATGCTTGTGTGTGTGTAGAAAGACAGAGAATATATTACAAAATCCATTAAATCCCTATGTGAAAATCTGAACTTACAAAATAGATGATTTGGGATAGCATACTTTTAGATAATCTTTTCTCCTAGGAAATTTAAAATAATACTACAACCATGCATAGTTTTTAGGGACATTTATTGTACAAATGAAGCTGTACCTTTAATGGGCAACGGATAGAAAAACAGGACCCAAAATGAGAATTCTGTTTTGATTTTAACTATTGAGAGAACATCCAGGGTAAATGCACTTGATATTGATGATTTTTGTCATATGAAAAGAATGTACACCGACTTTCTTATCTATGATAAAAATATATTTATAATGACTCTCTATTTTTCTCTGTTTTCCACTGTTTCAAATATGCATGGGTATGCAAAAGTGTTCTTTAAACTATAAATAACCAGAGAAATGTTGTTTGTGCTGTTGTCATTCTCTCTCCAGTGCCTTTAGCCTTTCTTTCCAAAGAAATTATTTGCCAGAAGAAAAATATAATTTGTTTGCCCTTCTCGACAACATTGATTTGCCAGCTTCTTATCTGAATATTTTTCCTCACTTCTTTAGGGACTTGCTCAATTTTCTAAAGTTGAAAATGAGGGCTGCTCCTAGCCCATGCCCATTCCAGGACATGTTTGCTTCTAAATAGTTCCTGAATCAAACCCTTTCCATTCATTCCACAACCTAGGTGGCACTCTCAGCACTTCATTTGCCATAGCATCCTAATGGTTCACCCTTGGTCTCTCTTCCCTTCAATCTGTTTTGCCTTATGCTGTCAGAAGTATCACCCTGGAAAAATAGCCTTGTCATATCTTTGACATGCTTAGGGTCTAGACTCTTCCCTGACAGTCCCTTAACATTATCTGATCAAACCTATCTGCCCAGGTTTCCCAAGGGAGGCCCTTAACTCCAGTCACCAGATTGCTGCATGCTTCTCGTTCTCTACAGCTGGAATGCCTTTTTCCTCCTCTCTGCTAAGCCATAGCCTTTACACCTCAAGTCATACCATCTACCAGAATTCTGCAATGATTTCTTCTTTCCCTGAAATCTAACAGCAACATTCATTCACTTATTCACCATGTATTGATCAATTACTGTGTGGGAGACATTCTGGGCATGCAGGAGAACCTCAGGTTTGGCACAAGAAGTTGTTCACTGGATGAAATGACTCCCAGATTGAAAATCCCTAGATGGCCATCTTCAAAGTGGAACCTCATGGGAACCATCAGTTTGAAAACCCAGCACAGGAGGAATCCTAAGAGGCCCTGTAGACCTTTCTAGGGATTTCCAGGGCTGAAGACTTAAAGCTGTTGGGGATGGGAAAATAATCAATTGACAGTGAAATCACTTGGCAAATAAAGCTCCTTAATGTAGCATCATACGTTACAGTGGCATGGTGTTTAATTACTTTTCATATAGATCCTTCAACTGGCTTGGAAACTTCTTATTTATAGGTGCTCTCATGTTATATAGTCTTACCAGTAACCATCAGAATGGGGGAGACAGAGTAAGCTGTTGCCTTGCCTGGACATCCTCAAGGTCTTCCCTATGAATAAGAGGTCAAAACACTGCATTTGGATTTCAGCAGAAATTCTATTATGCAAAACTGCCTCCGTGAAACTAAAGAGCCCAACACTTAAAAGAAACTACTACAAACCCTCTCTTTTACAGATTAGGCCTTGTCTTGGTGATTTTTCAGAGAAATTTTTGTTTAAATACATAATTCTACATTCCTTCCAATAGTAATTCCCTCAGGTATTGGTGATCTAACACAGAAGGTTTCAATTCGTTAATGGAAAAAAAGCCAAAAGAAAAACAGTGTAGTTTCTGTAAGAACTGTGACTCTTAAAGATTATAGTAGCAGTAGAAAAATAAGTCACAAAGGGAACCCCTCCCCCCATTAGAAACACTTGTTATCAAATAATGAGGAAAAGATAAACACAGGCTGCAAACACTGCCTCAAAGTAGAATTAGAAATACCAAGTTGTCTCTGGCTTGAGAAAATGATGAACCAGATCTTACTCACATAAGGGACTTATTTCTGTGCCAAAATTCAGAATAAAAAGTTGCAGTATTGCATAAAATTTGCCAAGTGATTTCACTGTCAAATGATCATTTTCCCATCCCCAACAGCTTTAAGTCTTCGGCCCTGTAAATCCCTAGAAAGGTCTATAGGGCCACTTAGGATTCTTCCTGTGCTGGGTTTTCAAACTGATGGTTCCCCATGAGGTTCCGCTTTGAAAACGGCCATCTAGCGACTTTCAATCTGGGAGTCATTTCATCCAGTGAACAACTTCTTGTGCCAAACCTGAGGTTCTTAACCTGGGCTCAGTGGATCTCCCAAGGAGACCAGGGATGGACTTCAGAGGGTCCATGAATTTTGATGGGAGAAAAATAATCTCTATTTTCACTAAGCTCTAACTGAAATGTAGGTAAAAAAAAAAAATCACAGTAGTATTAGCAGTTCCTGGGACTCCTCGACCATATAAATCTCAAACATTTTCTTATTATAGTTGTTACCAGTATCTCAAAGTATTATTGACACTCATCACTACTTCAAAATCATGGGTAGTTATTAGCCCTGCCACTAGATCTTGTTATTTAATATGCTAATAAAGAAGCACATATATTATTATTCCACTCATTTGGTTTTTTAAAAATTTTGATAATGATATCTTTCAATATAATTAGCTGCTTTTGTAATTTTAAGTATTTGGTAATTTTAAGTATTATTTTACACATTAAAAACATTATGCTGACAAAGGGTCCATAGATCTAGAAGTATGTTACACACAAAAAACTTAAGAACTCCCCATTCAATTCCTACTTTAAGTATTTGGGTTTTTTTGTTTGTTTTTAAGATTTTCTTTATTTATTTGAGAGAAAGAGAGAGAACAAGCAGAGGGAGGGAGAGGGGCAAGCTGACTCCACACTGAGCGCAGAGCCCAATGTGGGGTTCGATCCCAGGACCCTGAGATCATGACCTGAGTTGAAATCAAGAGTCAGAGGCTTAACCGACTAAGCCACCCAGCTGCCCCTCTACTTTGAGTATTTGTTAACTGATCACAAGGACTTAAAAAAAATCAAACAATAGGCTTGGGCTAGATTTGAATATATTTGAATATGCATGATTTTATAAGTGACAGCTACATTATTATAATTAAAGACAGACTGATATAGAGGTTAAAAATGGTTAAGAACAGTCTGCAAATGAGTGGGCAACACATGAGGGGAATAAAAACTACATCAGAGGCTATCAGTCTCACTGGAGTTAAAACAGATTAAAAAGGGCATTAAACCTTGATCAAAATGAGGGTGTAGATGTAAGGTGAGGTCCACCAAAGTCTTGGAATCAGTTGTATACGCCACTTTTGTCAGATAAGCATCCATTCCATTACATGGAAGAAGATAGTACAAACTTCATAAGAACAACTAATATGCTATTATTTGAAATAGTAGTAGCAAGAATATATATTTTAAAGCTTCTACTTGCTGATTTTAATCATCAAAAATCATCCTTAATATAATACTGTTACATCTACGTTCTCATGTAATTGTCATACCTCTGAGAGGAAAGAGTGGATAGAATTACATCCATGTTACAAATGAGAAAACTAAGATTCAGGAAAGCTGAACACAGTGGGTCAGGGTTAAAAAAAAAGAGATAATACTATAATCTCCACTTAACAGATGCAGAAACAATCTGTGAGAGGTTCGGGAAGTAGCAGTAAGTGTCAAGGCTGAAATTTGAATCCAATTTGGTCAGATTCCAAAACCTTGTGTATTTTCCATTGTGTTGTGCTGTCTGCCTTACTATTCCTTTCTCCAAATTAGAGAGCTAAAGGGTTGTTAGAAATGACAACCTCCCACACACACCCCAAGAAAAGTGTACTTTGCTCTGTTGAATCACAGGGGTACACTCCAGGGAGAGGAAGGAGAGGAAGGAAAGCATTTCCAAAACTTTGGCATAGCCCTTGGTTAACTCAAGGGCCCCAGGAGAGGGGGCGTGTCCTTGGGATGTTAGTGTTGCTTCTGCTCCACGGCCCTGCCCACAGCCACTAGGGAATCCAGATGGCGTCCCTCTTTGTTCTGTTGAATCTCTTGGACATTGCTGGAGGGGAATGTGTGGTCCGCATCAAATCAGTCACTATGGAATGGGGAATCATTATATATCATATAAGATGTGCTTTTCAAATTTTAGGAATACATCTGATTAACTGTCCATGCTTGCATATCTTATTTCCCATTTGCATGAAAGTAAATTTTACTGGTCATCTGTGGGCTTTTGAGGGACAGAAAGGCATCTTCTTCCCACTTTTCGTTCTTTTTGCTTTCCAATTTGCTGTTAAACTGTTCCAGATCACAAACCAACAGCATGTTGTTAATTCCATTACAAGAGCGAGCAATAGTGAGAGTTCTTGCACTTTTAAAAAATGCCAGGCTTAGGAAGGCTTGGAAACTTGTCCACAGAATGTCCTCAGACTGTAAGCCCTTGCACAGTAGTACAGGCTCATCTTAATTACCGCCCTTTTTTCCTGGAAGCAATCATTTTGGTCATGGTGGTAATGCCATATTTAATCTGTTTGAACTCCAGTGAGATTGATAGCCTCTGATGTCATTTTTATTCCCTTCATGTGTTGCTCAACTCATTTGCAGACTGTTCTTTTTAACCCATTTTTAAGCTCTCTATATCAATTAGTCTTTCTTTAACTATAATAATGAAACATAAAATCATGCATATTCAAATTTTTTTTTCAAACCATTTGCTTATCATGTCCATTTTGGGAGCCTGTTATGTTTAACTTTGCCTCCTTTCTGCCCCAAATCCTCACTGTCATGCAACAGTTAATCACCATTTAAATGTTTACAAAGGGTTTGTCCATCTAGACGTTTTGCACATTGTTTTGGTGCTCCTAAAAGATAAAACTTAAATGCAACAATACTGCAAATACTGTAACTTTGGTTTCAAACACAAACTAATGTCCAAACAATATGAATGCAGAAACGTCCCCCACCCTCAGAGCTCTCCCTCAATCAGCCTTCTTAAAAATCTAGGCAAATCTATATTTTCATTTAAAATGTAATGATGCATTATCTAATATACTACTCCAAGCTCCTTCACATAACAGGAAGAGCATTAATAATTACGTTCAACTGCTGAAGATCTGCAAAGAGAAAAGAGTAGTTGATAGTTTTACTTCTCTTTGTCATAGTGGCTTAAGAAAGATGTGGAAAACGACTCAAATATAATCCCTTTCCTTCCTCTCTCCTCTCGCCCCTGTCTTTTCAGGTACTTCCAGAACTTACAGAATCTTAGTTTGGCTTATTGCAGAAAGTTCACAGACAAAGGTTTACAGTACCTGAATTTAGGGAATGGATGCCACAAGCTCATCTATTTGGACCTTTCCGGCTGCACCCAGGTTTGTCTTTCAGTCTTCTCTTTCCTGCAGCAAGCGAGGAAGTCCTCCGGGGGACGGGCTACATCCAGCCCTCATGTTATACTAATGCTGTGCACGGACTGCAGCACACTTTTCAGAGGTTTTGAATTACATAGCCACAGCTGCTTAAATTTTCCCCAGGATCGCTACTATAGGCTCTTGGCTTCCTTCCACTGGAGTGTCACATCCACACACAGGCCGAGCTCATTGGATGATGAAACAGACCACTTCTGTGTAGATACTTTGAGCACAATTATAATACCAGAGTCCAAATGTTGAAAACTTTAGAATTGCTACCAAGATATAAACAAAGGAAAAACATTTTGGGGGGAGAATTTGCAAAGCACTTCCTGAAAAGTCAATGAGCTCCCCCAGGGGCTTTCAAAAAATAAATAGCATTGGGTAAAATGCCACAAGTGCTAAATATAACAAAAGAAATACAACAAAGATTGTACTTTTTAAAATTGCATTGTGTCCTGGGGCTAAATAACATGAGGGTTTGAGATCTACATGGGGAAATATTTAAGTCTGAGGGAACAAGATGAAGGAAAGTTGGGTAGAAACTAGGGTATAGTTGTGGAGGGTAGGCCATGGCACTTTGGAAATAGTTGCTGCCTCATTGGTACTTTCTTCTGCTCTATTTTGGTAGATTTAAGTCATGATTTTTTTAACTTCTTTTCTTCCACCTCTCTGTGTATTCTGTTAATATTAGTATCATAGTATGATCATCTTTCTATGAAAATAATATAATAGCACAGATGAAAACTGGCTGAAACATTGCTAGTTAGCATTTGTTGAGTTGGTGTTATATGCCAGGCACCATGTTGAGTGCTTTACACAGATCAGATTCATTCCTCATACAAACGCTGTATAGTGTGTATTGATTATGCCCATTTAGAAATGAAGAGACCAAGGCTCCCAAGGTTGCACACCCAGTGAAAACACATGGTACTGGTGCCCTTATAAGCACCTATTGGTACATATATGGGCAGGGAGAGTCCCCTGGAGGGAATACAGGCATAGTATGGGTTTCTCCTCCAAGTCCTTAAAGGGATAGAACTTAGCTACTCACTGTCACTGGCATACCATGGTTCCCTGGTACACTAGGCAGTAGGGAGGATGTAGGGGAAAGGTGGGGAGGGCTCTAAGCTAGGCTTGAAACATCTAGAAGTTACATTTATTTCTGATCTACTGATGTGTACCTTGCTAAACATCAACATCTACCATCACTCTATGACTGAGATGGACTTAACATTCTCTCCAGCTTGACTAAAATCTAGCCCCTGACCTCCCTTTTCTTGGAGCATTTATTTTAGAAAACTTGCAACTGTACATTCTTTCTTTGCTCTCTTTGCGGTAGATAAAAACCTCATTAAAAACTTCTTGATGGTTTTGTAACCCAGGAATGCCTTCCTCAAGGGCCTGGGAGCCATCCTTTGATATGTATCTGGTATCTCCCAGTCCCTGTGGGAGGGTAGGTGCTTTATTGCTAATTGAAAACTTCCTAATCACAGAGAAAAATATTTGCAAGTTCAGGAATAACTCAATGTTTTTGACACGTCCCTTTAAAGATACATCCTCCAGGATTTTTCCACCAGCTCACCCAGTGCTTAAAAACCCTCCCCCAGAGTGTAACTCACCTCTTTGTTCTTTTCAGTTTCCACAAGGTAATGATTGTAGCAACAACATACAATTCATACACAGACACACAGACACACATACACATGTCCTAAGGATACATATTCTCAGACACAGTAGAGTCAAAATGAGAGGTTTTAAATCTATGTGCCTCTGGCCAGATATGCACACAAAACACAAGGACATCGTGTATCTATTTTTAAATGTTGCGCCAACATTTAAAACATTTGGAGTCAAATAAATAAATAAATAAATAAATAAAACGTTTGGAGTCTTCGTAAAGAAATCTATACTTCCAGGTTTCCCTTAAAAAACTGGAAAAACTAGCGAAATTGGGCCTGGAGTGCCATTCAGCCACAAAGGGTCGGGACTGAGTTAGCCTCACCCCACTGAAATGGAGCACGCTGGCCTCTCCTCCGCTCCATAAGGTCCACACATGCGCAGACACCTAACCATTCAACTGCATCGCCTGCCTGTCCTCAGTGGGTATTTAAGTTTGGTCTGAGTGTATAAAGAATAGATTTCTTTTCCTGATTGTCCCTTAATTTTTAAGTCTCAAACCACAGTGAAGCTAGTATTATACATCACTATGCAAAAGAATGTTAAATTTCTTTTGTTCATCCGTCTTCCACTTCCATTTATTTAATAATTCAAGAGAGATTTAACTCCAGGTGTCAGACACTGTTTCAGTCACTGGAAATTGTGCCATTTGAAGCTAAGCCCCGTTAGGCCCCCCGGGAGTAAGAAATGGGCTCGTTATGAACCACAGATATCTTGAAAATAGCTGCTGCTCTGGATGCAGAAAGAATTGGTAAAACTTGGATGTTACCGCTTCTGAGGGATTTGTTAAATTTAATGAGGAGGCTCCGTTTACCTCCACAGCTCTGGGTGTGAGGACAGTTTCACTCTTCCAGGCTTACATGTATTGATATCACGGTACAAAAATGGTTTCAAAGAAGGGAAATCGATGATTCACAGATTTCTCTGGTTCTCCGCTTGGAAACTAAAAATCTATTTTCTTTTTATAAGTTTGGAATTTTGCACTCTGAAGTCATGTGTTAATGTATCTGCCCAAGAAGAAAGGTCCTAGTAAAACAAAAAGACTTCAGAATAGAAGCTCACACCTAACTGCCTTTCGCTGGTGTTACCCGAGCGCCTGCTGTATACTGCGCCCGGTGATGAATAAAACAGCGTCCTGTCTTCTAGCAAAGTATGTCAAGGGCTAAACTTTAATGCAGTCATGGCTGCCAAAAAAAGAAAGATGTATTTATACAATATTGTGAAAGTATTTTAACAACACTTGTTAGAAAAAAAAATAAATGCATGGCGGAGAACTGCAAAGAAAAGTTAAAATCAATTACACATGTTGTAGAAATACTCTGCATTCTTTTGGGATTGGATAGAGTGTAGGTGCATTAGGTAATAGGACTGATTTCCTAACGAATACCAGCATTTGCACACGTACTTGCATGTCATCATCTTTAATGTGGTTGAGGTGATGCCTCTGGGCAGTTTCTTTGAAAAAAAAGCCTCTGCTCCCTCGGCCCTGACTGAGGATAGAGCCACTCTAGCGAGCTCTTTCGCTCTCCGTTGAAACCTCTAACCATATACTTATCACTTTGAGTTTCTTTTTTCACTTTTTAAAACCTCTGCTTTTTTTTTTTCCTTTTTACATGTTAAACACAAAAATACAAGAAATAAGAAGCAAAAAATTTAAATTATCTGAGAATTCACCACCCAAAAATAACGAACACTATTAACGTTTCAGGGTAAGGCTTCCTGGTCTTTTTTCTATGCGCAGAGATACTTCTTTTAAACTAAAGTGGATTATACAGTACACTTATCTTTCATTTAACATTTCATAAAGTTAACACCTCTCTATTTTATTAAATATTTTCCTATAACTTACTTTTTTTCTCTTCTTTTCTTAATTTAATTTTATTATTTTATGTTAATCACCATACATTATATCATTAGTTTTTGATATAGTGTTCCATGATTCATTGTTTGTGTATAA